GGTATGGGTGTGGGTGTGGGTGTGGGTGTGGGTGTGGGTGTGGGTGTGGGTGTGGGTGTGGGTGTGGGTGTGGGTGTAGAGAAAAGCCACACCCACACCCCACACCGACACCCACCCACATCCACACCCATTATATGGAGGTACTCTTGGGGTTTTCATGTGGTATTAGTTGAAGATACCTTGGATCCCCTTGTGCTATTATTTGGAGGTATCCTTGGGTCATGATGTTCAGTTAACACCTTCCCCCACTTGTTGCTATAGAATAAACGCCCAGTGGGCCTTTATTGCTTTTTTAATACAATGTATTACGTGATGAAAAATTCAACTCCAGTATGCGGCCGCTTGATCTGTCCCAGCCCTTATTTTTGAGTAACCAAAAACGCGTGTAATAAATTTGCTTTATTAACTCTCTTACGTCTTGAGTAAGAACCGTTATTTTTACATAATAAGTATACTTTCAAACATTCTTTTAAATGACTATTTGTTGAAATTACTTAAATGACTACAGAGATATATCAATTACAAATGTTCTGAGAACTTTTTTCCACAACTTATCTTTCCAATACTTATTAAATAGCTATGCTTTATTAATACCGATTGGTATATTTTTTCTCACACTTGGAAGACATTAATTTTTCTGTTGATAGAAAATATATACGAAAAGCAAAAGCAGCTAACATACATAAAGTGAGCTACAATTAAACAGTGAGAGGCAATGAGCTCATTTATCAGGTTTCTAAAACTAACTGTCCTGTGCTCATTTTGGATAGCTGGACTTTCTTATGTGTTTAGAAAGTGATAACCTTCGGGCTGAGCTTATATTCCGAATGGGTATCTATTAGACGATGGACTTATATCTTGTGGAGAGATTTTAATAGGGCATGAAGGCCTAAGAGTACCTCCAAATAATGGAACATCAGGAGTTAAGGATGCCTCTGAAGAATAGCATATGAGGACCTAAGAATATCTCCAAATAATAGCAGAGGAGGACCTAAGAGTACCTTCAAATAATAGCATATGAGGACCTAAGGCTGCCTCGAAATAACAGCAGAGGAAGACCTAAGGGTACCTTCATACAATAGCACATGAGGATTTAAGGCTACCTTCAAATGTTTGTTATGACCGAACTCCCGAACCGTTTAGTCCATTGCGTACCGAACTCGAACCTGAACGTTCGGGTTCGGTGCATGCCTAATACGACCCAATGCTCAACATACGCAACTAACTAAGATAACTTTCACAGAAAATGATTTAGTTCTCTTTCTTTAAGTTATTTATACTCTGAAATAAAAATCTTCCCATGTCTTTGTTGCTGCAATATCATACTTAGTATCAAATTTATGATGAAATAAAGATAAGACATAAGAGTTTTATTTCAGCGTAATCTGTATCATATTGAAATAAAACTCATGTCATGTCTGTACTTCGCAATAAATTTGACGTAAATTATGATAGTATAGAAACAAAGGCAGGAAAGGGCCTTTTTTCGAGAGTATAGTTATACAGAACGTAAATACCACTAGTGATAGATCATATGCTCCAGAAAAAAGTGCTGTTAGAAATAGCACAGAAATTTTAGGGTATTTTGTCCATGTTGTTTCAAGAGCACTTTTCTATTAACGATTCTTTTCTTTTTTGTTCATTAAAAATTACCCATTCTTTCCATACGAGCGCACCATACGTAAAATAGACCCGTTTACTAACGTTGTATTGAACAAAAAAGGCTTGCAATTAGGATTTGTCGTTGAGATCACCCAAAAATTTGACTTTTTTTAGGGACATTATATAGGATCCTATGGGAACTGCTGAACGATAAGACAGAATAGAGGACTCTGGGTCTTTTAATGTGTCGATATCTTTATGATTTTCCTTAACAAAATACCCATACCTATATTGATTAATACCATTTGGTATTGATATTTGTATTATTACATCCCCAGCTCAGATATCTGTCCGAAAGTTGATAATGATACCTCTAGGTAGACTTCAGGAAGTTGCTAATGTACTCTGAGATAGTCCCGAGGATGTTACTAATAGTACTCTAGGATAGCCCCCAGCAAGTTGCTTATAGTACCCGAGAAGGATCCAAGGAAGTTACTAATGGTGCCATAGCATGGCTCCTAGGATGTTACTAATGGTATCTCAAGATAGGCCTCAGATACTTATCAACGGTATCCTAGGATAGGCCCCAGGTAATTACTAATATCACTTCGAGATAGTCCCCATGATATTACTAATGGTACCCTAATGTAGGTCTTAGATAGTTATCAATGATACCCTAGGGTGGCTCCCAAGTTGTTATTAACAGTGCCCCGAGATAGTTCTCAGGAAATTAGTAATAGTATCTCGAGATAGGCCCCAGAAAGTTACTATAATCCTCCAAGCTATCTCTAAGGAGTTTATTGATAATACTCTGAAACGCTCTCCGAGTAGGATTAAAGAAGAGCCGCTCACGCTCATGAGCACTCATGAGCGTGAGCTGTACAGCCCTAATCGAGGCCCCATTAGAAAAATACCCTAAAAAATCCAATATCTCACTCCCAGAGGCCTATGCACCCGAACCCTTATGGATCTGAGCACATCTCAGTAAGGTCTATTTAATGGCTATAGTCTCAAGCCGAAAGCAATTTAACACCTGGAGAGATTCCCTCGTGAGTCTCTTTTCGCGCGTGTCTTTCCATTCTCACTCTCGGTGAGAGATGCCTGTCGATGTGTTTTCACCCTCACCCTCATTGAGAGACATGGCCTGTGGATGTGTGTCCGCCCTCGCCCTCAGTGAGAGAGGTAGTCTGTGTGTGTCTTTCCACGTGTGTATGTCTTTTCGCCTTCA